AAAAAAAAAAAAATTAAAAAAAAAAAAACCAAATAAAATGACCAACCATACGACCCCCACCCCCGAGTATATTGCCGTAGTTTGCATGTGAGTCAGCTGATTTGTGAAATAGCAATGGACTGAATTTGGGCAGCAACTGTTTTAAGACACTGGATAGTAACTGAGCCTTCTTACTCTCTCAGGCACTGAACACAGGCATCTCACTTGAAATTTAAGCAGCTCAGGATACTTCTAGTTGTGGGGAAATATCAACTCCCATTGCTGGGCTTCAGAAAATGGAACTGGATTCTTTTTGTCCTGCTCATAAAACATGTTTAGAACATCAAATATTATTTTTAGTGGTTATTTTGGTGCTAGCTACCAACTTCTGCTTTGGTGGGAAAAAAGAGATGGGAAAAATGATACTGGAGATATTGGAAGCAGAAATTACTTATCACTGTCAAAGAACTGGAGCAGAGAGTCCTCTTAACAAGCAGCGTGAAATTACTCTTTGAAAAAAGCCATCCTGGCAGGGTTAATGCAAGGGAGATTAATTGCATAGAAAACTGTATTAAAATGGAGCGAACTCTAGCAACCGTTTCTCAAAAGTACTAGAAGCAAATCAAAACTTAGAAAATAAGTTAAAGTTTTTCTCAGCTCCCACTAGGCAAAAAAGCAAGAAACCTCCCTCCCCCCTTTTTTCAAACACTTAGAAAGCCCCTGATGAGCTCTTGCACGTTGCCCCATGTAATGCATGTGGAGTGGAAAAAAAAGGCCACCAAGTTCTGAAGGCATCACCCTTCCATAGCCATCTATGGATTAGAAATGGGAGAAGTGGTTTGCTAAAAATATAGCATATTACAAAGATAACAGGAGAAAGCAGAGAATTTTTTTTTCTCAGGGTTAAAAGCTGTAAAGCTTTAAAAAGCCCTGTATGCAAATAACACATTCACTCACTTCCAAAGCTGCGATGACATCCCCCAAAGGTAGGTCTGCTGAAACTTTTCAGTTGAAGGAAGTTGACCCGTTATGAAGAATACTCTGATATAGGAAGAACTGGAGGGCTGAGAATTCCCTAAATCACACAGGTTTTCAAAGAAAGCAAAGTTCCTGTCACTGAGCCTTGGGAACATAGACGAAAACACATTTTCTAAGTCTGCTTAGCAGATGCCTGTTGGTGAAAGCATTTTGGAGGGCTCTGTAGGGGTGAAGGAGGGGGAAGTAGAAAGGTCTTGTAAATACCCGGGCAATGCGAAAGGAGAGAAACAAAAAAATTTGAGCTCGTGTGATGGTGTTTATGGATTCTGCTGAGGTTAGATATCCCTGATTGATTGATTTTATTCCCATTGAGTGCTCAGTTCAATCTAAGTCTTCAGTTTAGATATGACAGCTGCTTTTTAGGTTATATTGAGAAAGGTAGAAGAGAGCCTCTGTGAGTCATTTTAGGCTGAAAACCTACAGCCACTGTTTGAACATACACATCACAAAAAAAGCACCTATCACCCCTGCCTCTGTGAAAGCCCCTGAAGTGCTTCCTTTCTGCTGTTAGCACTCGCTGCTCAGTTACAAGAAGGAAAGAAAGGTGTGAACAGGAAGCTAAATGGCTATTAACTTTTTTTTTTCCTGTAAGACATATCAAAATTTCTCTATAGCAAATGGATTGCTTTTAAGAGGGTGCAAATCCAGGAGGAGAAAAAAGTTTGAAGAAATTAGGATGTTGAAGGCTATGAAATCTTCACAGTTTTCTGATTATTCCTTGTATAGGAAGGCAGTGTAAGACATCCCTGCAGGCAGCACTGATGTAGGTGTTTGGTGTTGCATAAATGTCAAATTCTGAGAAGTAATCCCCACTTCTTGTAAGCGTACCAGGAAGTTCATGAGCGACAGCAGAGGGCTTCCATCAAAAACTGTTATAAATCTGTCCCCCAGTATGCTCACTGTATGAGCATAGCTTGTTTGGGCAAAAGCATAAGCAAGGAGTGGAAAGGTTTGTTTGCATGAGGGAAGCCTGTGTCTGTGCACACGCTGTGGTTGCAGGCATTCAGTAAACACAAAAAGAAACTCAGCTAAGTTCTACTGACATCAGTCATTTGGAAAGATGTTTACTTCTTTCATTATATCCCATTTTCCGCATGAGATTGTGTACATTGTCTTTTTTGTGTGTGTTTCCCCAGTGCCGTTCAGTTTCTCTGCCATGCCCAGGTACTGTTTGTGGGTGCATTAGGGCTGTGGTTATCTTCACTCTCCCTCTTCTCTTTACTGTTGCCCAGGGTATTTTTTTTCCTCCCAGAAACGGCTTGACTTCTCTGATCTAGAAAGGGGAGGTTTGGGTGCCAGCAGCAGGACGGAGATGGTCCCCGCGGGCGCAGGGCCTCGCCAGGTGCAGCTGTGAGGGCAGGCGAGGAGGAGGCGGCCGGGCCCCGGTCGCGGCGGGCTGGGCTGTGGCGGCTGAGCGCAGCAGG